TTTGTCAAATATCAGGTGGCTGAAATTGCATTTACTCATATTTGGGCCTTCAGTTTTGTTCCATTGATCTATGGATCCATTTTTGTCCCAGTACCATGTTGTTTTTATGACTATAGCTCTGTAATACAGCTTAAAATCTGGTATAGTAATCCCCCTGGCATTGCTCTTAGTGCTCAGGGTTGTTTTGGCTACCTGAGGTCTTTTATGCTTCCGATTGAATCTTAGGATGTTTTTTTCCAATCCTGTGAAAATTGTCATGGGGATTTTGATTGGCATTGCATTGAATCTATAAATGACTTTTGGTAGGATGGTCATTTTCACAGTATTGATTCTTCCAATCCATGAGCATGGCAGGTCCTTCCATCTTCTGATGTCTTCCTCAATCTCTTTCTTTAAAGATTTAAAATTTTCATTGAGGAGCTCTGTAATGCCTTTTGTCAGGGTTATTCTGAGAATTTTTTTTTTTTTTTTTTGCAGCTATTGTGAAGGGGAGTGTTTCCATGTGCTCTTTCTCCACTTGTTTGTTATTGTTATATAGAAAGGTTACAGACTTTTGTAGGTTCATTTTGTAACCTGCTACTTTACTGAACATGTTAATAATTTCTAGCAGTTTTCTGGTGGAATTTTTGGTGTCTCTTAGATATAATATCATCATCTGCAAAAAGGGATAATTTGATCTCTTCTTTTCCAAATATTACTCCTTTAATTTCCTGCTCCTGTCTTATTGCTCTTGCAAGAGTTTCAAGCACTGTGTTAAAGAGAAGTGGAGGTAGTGGACAGCCTTGTCTGGTTCCTGGTTTCAATGGGAATGCTTCCAATTTTTCTCCATTTAGACTGATGTTGGCTCTGGATTTCTTATATATGGCTTTCATTATATTGAGGTATGTTCCCTCCAGTCCAATTCTCTCTAGAAGTTTGAACAAAAATTCATGTTGGATTTTGTCAAAGGCTTTCTCTGCATCTATTGAGATGACCATGTGGTTCTTGTGTTTGAGCCCATCTATTTGATTTATGACTTTTTTTGACTTACATATATTGAACCATCCCTGCATCTCTGGGATAAAGCCAAGTTGATCATGGTGGATGATCTTTTTGATGTGTGTCTGTATGCGGTTTGCAAGTACTTTGTTGAGAATTTTTGCATCTATGTTTATTAGGGATATGGGTCTATAGTTTTCTTTTTCCGTTTTATCTTTACCTGGCTTTGGTATTAGAGTGATGATGGCTTCATAGAAGGAATTTGGAAGTTCTCCCTCCATTTCTATCTTTTTGAATAAATTAAGTAGTACTGGATGTAGATCTTCTTTAAATGTCTGGTAGAATTCTGCTGTAAATCCATCTGGTCCTGGGCTTTTTTTGGTCAAGAGGGTTTGTATTACTGTTTCAATTTCTTTTTGTGTTATGGGTCTGTGTAAGCTATTAATCTCTTCTTGGTTTAGTTTTGGTGGTTCCCATGCCTTTAGATATCCATCCATTTCTTTTAGGTTTTCAAATTTAGTAGCATATAGGTTTTAAAAGTATTCCCTTATAATGTTCTGTATCTTTCTGGTATTTGTTGTGATGTTTCCCCTTTCATCTCTGATTTTGTTGATTTGGAGGTGCTCTTTCTTTTGGTTAACTGGGCTAGTGGTCTGTCAATCTTGT